AGCAAAAACGTCTAAAATGTAAAAGCAGGGAAAAGTCTTGCCTGCAATATGATTTGCTTCAGGACATCAGATGCGTTTAGAGGATAACCTAATTGCAAATATAATTAAATATGACATAAAAATGTGTTATGTAATGGGAAAAGGTTTGTTAGATTTGTAGACGTGATTTCGGACTGTGATAAGGATGTTTTCATTGATCTAACTGCGTAACACTGTGATCAATGCAGTGTGTATGATATCAGTGAGTATCATAACAGCGACTCTCTCTCTAATACACTTAGAGGAAGCATTTAAAGAATGACCCCATCAAAGTGTGTGTGGGTGTGTGTGTGTGTGTGTGTGTGTGTGTGTGTGTGTGTCATCCTTCTGTGATTTCATGTGAGATACACACATGCATGTCATTTTAATGATAACCACATTCTCTCTGCTCGCCATGCCATTCATAATGACGCATGTTGTTGTTTTCAATGACCGAAATGAAACTCATATGCTTTCTGAGGCCCCCCTTGCATTTAGACAATATTTAACAGCTGTGGCTTCAGATAAACCCTCTTTTTGAAAGTCCTCATGGGCTTGTGTGTGTTGACATGACTATTAATCATGTTATTACAATGTAATAAATGCACTTATAACAACAAGTAGAAGAATTCTGTCTATATAACAATAATGATAGAATAACTGTCATAAAACCTGCCAATCAGTGCTACAAGATGAATGTGATGGAATACCTCTAGATTTATATTATAGTAAGATGCATATTTCATCAAAAAATTCACACTTGTCTCTGTGACTGTCTGTGAATGATGTTTGTGTCAGCTATAACAACATTTGTTATTAAAAGCAGGAATATTTGAATTATTAAAAGCTATAGGAAAATCTAAATCTAAATATGTAATCTTTTTCATATTTATTTAAAAAGAAAATAACAATCTTTGTATCTGCAACCTGCAACAATTCTAGATTATAAAGTAGAAGTTATCAGAATCAGAATCAGAATCAGAATTAGCTTTATTCGCCAGGTGTGCAAACACACGAGGAATTTGTTGTGGTTTTTTAAGGTGCTCCTGGTACATACATACATGCATACATACATACATACATACATACACATCTGACATGAGAACAGAAAAAACAAAACAAAAAAACATTTGAATAGTAAAACTTAACAATAAATGTGTATGAATCCGGAACAGTAGATGTATGTACAGATTTGTGCATCATTTACTCTATATAGAACTGTATAAATAAAGAGATATGCATATGTATTTACATAATACTTGAGAAAGAGGCAATAATTAAGGATGTAGAATGAATTACGGAAATTAATTACAGAACACAGGTAATGATTCATATGTTAGCGGTTTAAGCTGGAGATGGCATGGGGGAAAAACTGTTTTTATGCCTAGATGTTCTAGTGCACAGAGATCTGAGGAGTCGTAGTTCGTCTGATTTATTTGCTAGGGAGCGGAGATTCGCCAGATGAATGCTCGGCAGCGGAGTCCTAAAACCGCGCTGTCGGAATTTCACAAGCGCGCCGGCGCGTTTCCCTCGCTTGCGTCGCCTGGAGCGCTTGTATAGGAACGCAGCTCCTCCGACTAAAATGTCCAGTAAAAACATCTGAATGCTCAAATGTCGGCAGAAAGTTATTTGGTGTGCTATTTCTGATGTCCAGGAGTTCGTTCCTAGTAAAGCTGATCGGGAAAAAATTGCTTAAGACAGGACAAACAAACAAAAAAAGTACAAGTACCAAGTAGCGACAAACCATGGCTGCCATCCGCGGCGCCATCTTGGATCTCAAGTCTGTCAAGTCTATGTGAAAATCTAGGTTAGCTAGGCTAAATAAGTAAAACACATTACAGTTATATTTCATGTTATTAGCTTAATCATGGAAATTAAACATAAAGGTTCACATGGCATTCATTAGTAAAATCTCAAATATGGCAGAACTTTAAAAACCTCGCAAGATTAACTTTGCATTACAGTGATACATTTTCCAATCATGTTTTTTTATTTTTCTTTTCCAGCTCTGTGAAAGCATCAGTTGAGTCCCAATGTCTTCACTCTAGAAATTGAATTAAGAACGGTGAAATTTGTCCCGATGTGTGAGCAATCAGACCTAATAATGAAGTATTTTGTAGTGTAATGCTCTGACCCAAAGACCTCATTACAGGGAAGTTAGGTTTTATTGTTATTGTGTGTGTGTGTGTGTGTGTGTGTGTGTGTGTGTGAGAGAGAGAGAGAGAGAGAGAGAGTGTGAGTGTGAGTGTGTGTGTACAGGAACACACAGATACAAAGAAGTGAACAGACAGACATGCAAATTCATTGTGGTTAAAATTTCTCTCATATATAGCTCACATCTCGTTTTGTGAACTAATTCCAACCAACATGAACTGAGCTAAATTTGTTCTAAACAAGAAGTGTTTGCAGGACCAAAGACCTATTGACACCAAATCTAATGAGATTAAATTAAACACAAGTACATTTGCAGTTTTTGCACACAAAAAAAAAAAAAAACCTCATACTGCAGTTTGATGTCAAAATGACATCTCTGTAATTAAAAAAGAAAAATGGAGAAGATATTTGAAGGAATTGTTTGCCATGAAAAGCAAACTGAATATGTCACAAAATGGACAATATTTGGCACTTATGTGTCAAAACTTGTCTGCGGATGTGTGTGTGAATTTGTTCAGCTGCATGGTAATATAGCTGCATATCATTAGTGCTTAACATGGTAATGATATACTTAAAATGTAGTTTAAATTTACATTAAATGCAATTTGTTGAACTTATGAGTAGTTTTTGACACACTCACTGAAGTAAGACTTAAGTAGGCTACATCTTTATGTGTAATTTACATAATTACTTCTGTTGTATTTGGAGTATGGTTAAAGTGTATTGCTGAATGAATGTACTGACAAGCATTATGATAAACTCAAATTTAAGGTAAATTCTATTGAAATGTGTATGTCATGTATTTAAATAAACTTTTATTTGTCATTTTTTATTTGTAATGATGAAGTTGCAGTTTAGTACACCTAAAATATCGGTTATTTATTTTAAATGTAATATTGAAAAACACACTACAGTTAAAATTATAATTTACATATACTTTGCAAATGATACCTGAAATGTGCTTTAGTATATTAGTCAACACATAAGTGTACTTCTTTAAAGCACAAGAAAAAAACAGCCACAGGGCATCTAATACATCGTTAATTCCCCCTTATGTTGTTCCAAACCTGCATATGATTTAGTTTTTTCAATGGAATTAAAAATAATTTTTGAAGAAACTCCACTCAGCTCTTTTCCATGCAATGACAGTTTATAGTGGCAATGACCAGAAACACCATAAGTATAATAAAGTAGGATGACGCATTACATTCACACACCTTATGAAGTGAAATAGTGCTGAAATTGAAATAATTTTCAGTGAATTTTCCTCGTCACTTCAGTACAAATACAAAATATTAGTGAATCTAGAAGTCAAATATGTCTGGATGTGTCAGTTTTCCCCCCTATAAGCACAATTATGAATGAGAATTAAGCGCTTCAACTGTTAATAATGTTCCTCAAAACTTTTTTGTTCCACAAAATAAATAACAGTCACAGGTTTGGAAGAACATAAGGATGAGTGTTTACTGTTTTGCATTATATTACACACTATTTTTGCTATTGACACATTCTGTATTGTTAAAAGGGCTATATAAATAAAGCTGACTTGACTTAAAAAAAACAGGAGAGATAAAAAAAAAAAAAAAGTGAATTTTCTTTTAAAGGGGTCATATGATGCGATTTCAATTTTTCCTTTCTCTTTGGAGTGTTACAAGCTCTTGGTGCATAAAGAAGATCTGTAAAGTTGCAAAGACTAAAGTCTCAAATCCAAAGAGATATTCTTTATAAAAGTTAAGAGTCAGCCACACCTACCTAAAACGGCTCGTTCTAAAATGCCCCGCACATGTCTACGTCATGATGTGGGAAGATTTGCATAATGCCGCCCAAATGTTCACGCAAAGAAAGAAGGCGTAACTTTTA